TCCTTCAAAACCAAACAATTTACTTTTATCCTGAAAAATTTTATAAAACCTTTTTTATTTGTTTCAGGCTCCCTCGAAGGTGCATCAAAACGTTTCTTCACAGATTTCTTGCAAGACTTGCCTACACCCGGCACTGGGGGACCCTCATTCGATACAACTGTGCAAACGAATATTACGGGTTTGGTCGGCAAAACAGTGAAGCTTACGTGTCGCGTAAAGAACTTAGGAAATCGAACAGTAAGTAGAAAGTTATATCTATTTGTGTAACTATAAATCATATAATATAATTTAAAAAATCTGCATTAAGCACTACACAACTACCATTAAATCAGTGTGCCCGCCTTAAAATGATATGACTGCCATTTATTTATAATTTATTGGAATTGTTGTACTTATTTGATGTATAACCTTTGTGAAAACACAAGATTCTAAGGTAGCGGCCATCGTGAGAAAGTAGTAAGATATGCGTTCGACTACTCTTTAGGACCCAGATTTTATTTATTCCCTAGCGAAAACCTTGATGTGTGTATCTGCCCTAAAATGGCTTCTAATAAAAATCAAACCGTTAGAAGACGACTGCAATGGTGGACACACACAATCTATCTAAGCTCTCTGCCACTTTCTGGACTTCCACTTTGCCATAAAAATCAATCGATTTGCTTAAATTAATGCGGCGGACTGCCTTTTGACAAAATATGTCTGAGGTCTTAATAACGCTAAGTAGGAAATAAAGATTAAATAATTGATTAAAATATTGCTGTTGTTTACTTTTAATTTTTCCAATTTATTCCTGTATGATTTCATTGTAGGAAATAAGTTCCGGATTTGATCTACACAAGTCGTTGTAAAAGTTGAAAAAATTAGTATTCTACTCCAATTTACAATTTTCAAGCCCATTTTGCGGACTGAATATGAATATATTTTCGCAGAGAACCAGGAATTATTTTCTAGACTAAGGTATTAAAATAGCTCCTTTTTAAGACCCATACAATTTTCGTATCACACATTTTGTGTTTTTCGACCCGCCCTAATGTACATATGTATACATATATTTCGTTTTGGTTTCAAAATCTCAAAAATCTCAAATTCTATTTAACGGTGTAGTTTTGAAATTATACGAGTAAATTTGAATAAGTCTAATACTTCTAGAATTTATGACTGCATATGTATTAGGGTGGTCCTAAAAAATATCTATATCTAAATTTTGTGAGGGGCAAACCTCGAAAATGTTAGACAAATTTTTAGGAGTCACTACGAGGATTTGAACAAATTCACAACATCCAAAAAATTTTGACTTGAAATCGGAAAAGTTTTACATATTATGAACAACGAATAATATTATGAAAACTTATTTTTTATAGAAGCACTAACTGTTGTCAAAATTTTGTCGAATTTTCGCGATCTAAAAAAATTTTTTTTTAACCCTGATGGCGATCCCCAAATTTTTTTTTTATTTATTTTGTATCATCAAATGAAGGGGACTTCTTTATTTTGTACGTAGAAAAAAATATAGGTGTGCCCATGATGTTGATATTTTAAGCACCACCCTAACACACATGTATGTATGTACAAATAGTAGTTTTTTTCAAAATTAACATCACTGCCTTAATGATTTCTTTCTGAATCATATAATTAATCTTCTTCATGCCAAGTACGAACCAATGCTGACACATACCCTAAAACAACCCCAAGAATGTGCTTCGCTCACAGCGCCGGTGTGAGTATTTCCGGCCAAATGCATTTCATTGTCCGCGAAGAAGGGAAACTTACTTAATTACTTAATTGCCAAGCAGAGGTAGCAACAAAGAAAAAAGTTACAAAGCATGGCAACTACAAAGTTCTCATAATTCGGATACAATAAGCTAAAAAGTAACAATTAAGCGCAAAAACAAAACTATGTAAGTCAAACTTTTCAAAGGGCGCCAAAAATTTTGAGTCTGAGGAAGTAGGCAAAATTGTAATGATTGCATTGCTTATTGTTAAACTTAAATTTCTTTGTCATCCAACTAAAGTACAGGCTTAATAATAAGAAATCGCACCACACAAAAGTCGCATCCTGGGAGCGTATCCGAGAGCACAGCATGAACACTGCGGATTTCGAATTGTTGCCGGAGTGCAAGTTGGCTGTTGGTAGCGCTGTTGGCAACGGATATGTAACAACAACAACCAGTCTGACGCCACGGCGCACTATGGGACTACAGCGGCCAAAAGTAGTAAAAACAGATAAGCGAATTCTGAAAAAATAATTACGCAGATGCATAGCAAAATATCCAGCTAACCCAAACCAAAAAGAATTTTGGATGAAAATGCATATTTGCGAGCTTAAAGTAGGAGCAATGCGAAAAAATAAATTTGTAAGAAAAGATTTTCATTTTGTCGCAAGTAATTTGAATTCATTTTTCCACTTGTGCGGATATATAAAAAGCCAATCTGATTGATGAGCAGTTTTTGAATATATCTGTGGTCAAACATTGCTTTAAATTTTTATACATCTTTTGAAATGTATAAAACAGTTTACCTTAAAATTCGACATAATTTTGTGAGTGTAAAATTTTTCGAGTGCTTAATTTAAAAAGGGATATTTAAAAAGGACCTAGGAGGCGAGCTAAATTATACTTAGGACAAGTAAACATTAAATATGTGTGTCATATCTCAAATAGTTCCAGCTGCGAGGAACTGCGAGTTCAGCTTCTATTCTTCCTTTTATAGACCCATCTCCTGTAAAATTTATTGAATTTTTATTGTAGAGCAAAAAGGAAATGAAAGATATGCAATATAAAGTGGAAATTAAAGAAGGTTTAGATATTAATGACTCGCCAATCTATTACTCCCAATCAACGTTCAGCCAAAAATGGACGTTTCTCTGGACGGGATCCGTTTTCGATGACAGGAGTCCTGCTTGCCTTAGCTCAGCTTTTGTTGTATAAAATGTAGGTAAAATTGAAAGTTTCAGTGTAAATACATATCGTGCACATAATTTAATTTGCAGGTATTGTAAATGTTTTCGCTTTGTCATTTTTAAAATGAAGAAATAGAATAAATGTGCCTGTTCATTTTCTCCAAAATCCATAAAATTTAGTACTTGGAGCCAACAAAGCTGAGTAGGAGGTGAGCGCCTTAATAAGAAGCTCTTTATTATGTTCCAAATTGGAAAATTTAGGCTTAAACGAGCAGGGCACACCGAATTTCATAAAAAAAAAATTTTTTAAATTGCGCCTGTTTTTCTAGAATTACTGGACGATAATCTAAACCGATTTTGACGATCTTTCAGATTTAAGCTTTTCTCATTAAAACCAGCATATGCTCTGAATTTCATCAAAATCGGATAACATTTACTATTTCCGCCCACAAGAGTTGTGGGCGTGGTAGCGCGTTGAATTTTACAATTTTCCACAGTTCATCATTCCTAAGTGCCGAACAGCCCATATACGAAATTTCGGCGAATTTTTAGTACGGTTACTACTTTTGGCCGCAGCTTATATGGGGACGTCCCACTGTGCGGCGCAGCGGGATTTATTATTTGTCCATAGTTTGTGACTGCAGTACTAGTGCTGGCTGGCATTATTTTAGAATCCCTACAGTGTGATGCATATCTATGACTAAATACAATATTTGTCAACTCACCCGCCCAACACTGATATGGGTAGAGTTGCCCCCCAAAACGTTGCACATTGGCATTTAAAGTGTTGACAGGCGAAAACACTTTGGTAAAAGTTTTAATTTCATGCGTAAATTGTTTGCGCTTTTTACTGGTGCTGCTGGAATAGTTAAATATCCACTTTTGTTGGTGTTTTTTTTTTTTGGAGAAGCATTTTGGTTGCTTTTGTTAACGATAATGCAAAAACTGTCAAATCGTCAACAGCGCGCGCCAACAACTTTTAGTTAACAAAATTGTATTTAAATCTGTGCGTCTGTGTGTATGTACTACTTACGATTTCTGCCTTTATTGTTGCAATTTGCTTATTTTTACTGAAAATGCGGAACACTGAAATATTTTGGGGAATTTTTTTTTTGTTTTTTTTTGTTTCCTCCGTTCACTTTCACTAATTCACCCGTCGGTTTTTCATTTTGGAAAATATTTGTTTGTCAGTGCTTTTTTCATCCTTCTTTTTTTTTTTTGCTAGTGTCTTTGTTGCTTTGCATTTTGCAACGGCATTCGAAATTAATTAACTGTAGGAATTTTTGAGCGTACAACTATATGTATATGTATACGTGCCATGAAATGGGCCGAGTTTTTTCGCTTCACTTTTGCATAATATACAATTTTGCAAAAACAAAAAATAAGTTTGAAAGCGGCGGGAGGTGAGGATGTACAAGTAGGAGGTTACACTCAGCTATTAACTAGTAAAGTTGTGGGACGTACACAATGTGCGAGCAGTGCAAAGTAGTTATTTGGGTCACTTGTATTTTTCGTCTAACACACACTAGTAAGTAAGTACGTGTGTGTGTGTGTGTGTTTTTGTGCTTGTGCACGCAATTATGTGAAAGTGAATTAAAGTTGAATGAGCGCGAATAGTTGTTGGCCAACAGGGCGTTCAAAAATGGGTGGATGGGTGCACTTAAACGTTTCTGCTTGCTATTTTGCTCGCTTTACAAAGTGGATTGGCATAATTGAAAATTGTGCTTTGCATTACATCCGGTATAGAAGAGTATAGAAAATGTGATGAAAATTTGATTTTTTTTTGCCTTTAATAAAGCAGTGTTCTACTTTTTTAATGTTCTTTGTGGAATTAGCTGAATTAGGTTGGGGGGTTTTTTTTTGGCTTTCAGCTTTTGGTGTTTCTCCAAGTGTGGGATACAGCTGAAAGATTGAGTTAGCTTTGAGATTTAATGGTTTTGAAATTAATTTATTTTTTTTAATAAATATCTCCTCAGATATCTATGAAGTAACGAATACATAAAGTATCTAAGATTGGCGTACAATACCTCGTATCCGGAAATGGACAAACAAAGTGATTTTCCTAGAAAAATTTGCTACTAAATAATCTTATTATGTAACTAAGTATGTACTTTTTTGGTTTAGTACTTACAACTAAGTTTAAAGACAAGGTTTATTATAACCTGACGGGTAAATCGCATAGATTTTTTTTTATTGAAGCATCGTTATGTCATTGTAATGAAAAAGCCACAGAAGAAGTGAGGGGATAGAGGGGTGATATGGCACTATTAAGATTAAGGTTAAAATTAAGATTAAGATTAATTCAGATCAAGATCAAGATTACTAATAAGATTAAGGTTAGGGTTACGATTAAGGTTGGGAATAAGATTGAGATTAAGATTGAGATTAAGATTTAGATTGACACTAATATTAGAAGATGGAGACTAAAATTAAGATGAAGGACTTAGAATAAGATTGAGATAAAGATTAAAGTAACGATTTATATTAAGATTAGGGTTAAGACTACGATTAGGATTAAGACTAAGAATAAGATTGAGATTAAGATTAAGGTTAGGATTAAGACTGAGATTAAGTTGGAGATTAAGATTGATATTAAGCTTAAGATTAAGACTAAGAATAAGATTGAGATTAAGATTAAGATTAAGATTAAGGTTATGGTTAAAACTGCGATTGAGCTTTATATTGAGATTAAAATAGAGATAGAGATTATGATTGCGATTACGATTGAGATTAATATTAAGATTACGATAAAGATAAACGTTCTTTAAATGCAGAAAAATACTAATCAAATACGGGAAACTATACGGGTAATAGTAAAAAGTTTCACTTCAATCGCGCCTGGCATCCACACACAACTTCTTTTGACAACTTATACGTAGCGTTTGTGTATTTAAACATGTTAAACGCCTTGTAACCATTACTCAGTATCAAGAGAATAACTTTTGTTCGGAGGGTAAGACTTACAAAAAAATTTATTCTTTCGGTTAAAAATATTTCAAATGCTCTTATAGTATATGAGAAAACCCGTGGAGAAAAATCAGCTACTACTTAACGTAACGCTTTCAGTACGAGGGAGAATGAAAACAGGCCTCTTTATATTGAATATTGAAGAGTTCCCCCGAAAAAGAGTGTTACCTTAAACAAAGTGTACGTTTCACACGTATCTTTTGAGAATAGTCTTTGAAAAGTATTCTGTATTTTGATCCATCGATCACGTCCTATATGTTGTCGCGTAAACTTTCCTACAAAAATTACAATTTTACTTTCGCTGCTTCAGAGTATGCGTCACCATATTTACCTTACAAGTAAATTTTAATTGTTTAGGTTAAGTTATGATGGTATAATTGCTTACATTATCAAAGAGAACTTCGATTGCTATTTAGGCAACACTACTGCAATGCCCTTCTAACGTTTAATAAAACAATGCCTAAGCCTTCACCGGTTATTTGGCAAATTAATAGCCACTACAAGAGACAGTAACTGCGACAAAAGCATCGCCAACAACATCATTGAGACGCATCAATTGTGCAATGACAAATAGCGCGAGAGACCAAATAGTCATTGTGCATTGCTATTTCCACTTACCACTTCTCACATTTGCTAAACTGTGCAATGGAAAATGCGGGCAATTATTGATCGTAGTACAAATGCATTGCAAATAAATTGTTTCACCAATTCCGGACCGTCAAAGGATGCTCAACAGGCTACACTTGAGCTCACTTCAACACGCATATCGCAGCATTAATTGTCTATGTTGTCTATTCATTTCACTTGTGGCTGATTATATCGCAAACACATTTCCGGGTAAAAGCAGTTAAATGCAAGGTGAATATTGAACTTGATAGCTAAAGCTCGCCATATATATGTATACACACACGCCTGTAAACTCAAGACTAAATCAATCAGGAATTGCTAATAGATTGGCGTGTTTCTTCCATGCGGTTTCACAGCGATAATAATTGTACAAAGCAATTGATTGGAGATATGATACATACATTATGTATGTATGTATGAACATTTTGACGGCTGAGTGAAAGATCGATTACAGAACCTATTCGAAAATTTGATTGAAAAAAGCTCATCACAGAATTTCGCTGAAGAATGCTCTACCTCAGCTGCCGATTCAAAAACGCCCTATCTCAACTGAAAATATATTGAACATTCATATGTTGAGATAGGAAGTCTATAAAAAAATTCTGCGATGAGGCATTTTGAATTCAAATTTTGAAATAGGGTGTTTTCGAACTGGCTGCCGAAATAGGTCGATCGTCCACTCAGCCGTCGATATATTCATATATGTAGTATGTATGT